GGGTGTTAATTTATGGTCTTGAATGGTCTTGAGTTTGTATCAAGTAATTAATAAGTTTAAGTTTCTTTTTTCTCCCAAACGCTTTGGCTTTCAATCTTATGGCTCCCTCCTAGGACTCGCCATACCAGCAGTGCCACACACGCTCAAGCCACAATGACGTCAGCAGCAGTGACCTCCTTCCTCGCGGCCGCCACACTCTTATTGGCTGGCAGCCGTCACGTGAGCCAGGCTAAGACAGTTGTCTTGTTCTCTCTCCCTCACGCCGCTAACGTGCGCACTTACACCAACACTGGTCGCGCCCTGGCCGCGCTAGGATATGACGTATACGCCCCTGTGCCGGACTTCATGCTCAAAGACAACTCCGTCAACGTGCAGGGCATCAACGTCATCCGGTACGACGAGTATCTCGGTCACTTCGACGACAAAATCGCAGCTTTGGCCGTGGACAAATTCTGGAGGAACCAGTCTATGAGTATTGGAGATGCCCCAGGGATTCTCAATTTATTCAATGACATGGTCACTCAGATTTTGTCAGACAAACAACTGGTTGCAAAAATCAAAGAAATCAAGCCGGATATGTTTGTTCTTGTCAAAGTTCCTTTCTTTAGGGATTTTGTTATTTTAGCTTACATGCTGAATGTTCCCTTTTCTTTTTTGTGTCCATTTCACGATTATGTTGGATTCCCATAAGTCTGTCATCAACACCTTTACAACTCAATGATGATTTTCTGGAGGAAGGTATGACTTTCTTCCAAAGTCTTAAGAATAGCATGGCTCATTTAGCGCTATTCTTTCTCCACGAGTACCTATCCAGTGACAAACTCGTTGCAAGGTTCGCACCTCACCGACCCAGAATATCTACCAGGGAGATCATGTCCCAGGCGGAAATTTTCATCCTGGAGAGTGACCCAATTATGGATTTCGCTCGTCCGCAGCTGCCAAATACCAAATTCGTGGGAAGCACAGCGGGGAATCCCCCGAAAGAACTCAAACAGCCGTTCAAAAGCTTCATGGAGAAATCTGTGAATGGTGTGGTCGTGGTTACGTTCGGAAGCAGTATTCTGGAGGTACCGGACTACATTTCCTCCAAGATGGTGTCGGCGTTCCTGAAGCTGAAACAGAACGTGGTTTGGCGTGTGAAACTTCAATCTCCCGATCCGGGTGAGATTCTCACTTCTTCCTGGGTACCACAAAATGACCTCCTAGGGCACAAAAACACCAAGCTCTTCGTCTCCCACTGTGGTATGAACGGGCAGTACGAGGGAATGTACCACGCCGTGCCAACGCTTTGCCTGCCGTTTGAGAGCGACATGCCGTACAATGCCCAAAGGGGTGTGGCCAAAGGTTTTGGTCTTAGGGCGGACATCCGTGAGGTCACAGACATACAGCTTCTAGCGCTGATGAGAAAAATGCTGGAGTATAAGAAAAACGTACAAAAAGCCTTGAATCTATACAAAGAACTGTATAAGCTTCCGGTCAACGAGACGGCATTCTGGTTGGATCACGTGATGAAGTATGATGGCGCCTACATGAGGTCAGCGGGTCAAAACATGCCCATGTACCAGTTTCTGGCCCTAGACGTTCTGGCGTTTGTAGCGGTTGTGAAAGTTGTTGTTGTTGTGTTGGTGTACAAGACCTGTCGCTGTTGTTGTGGCCTGTGTTGCGGCTAGAAGAGGAAATCAAAGAGTGATTAGTTAGCATGTACATGTGTGAGGCGTCGTGGTGAAATCAGGCGCTCATGAAAATCCTGAAATCGAAGATATCGGCATTTTCTCTCTAATTTGACCATTTCCCCCCACCTTTTATGTCCATTTAAAGACATATTTCTGCGTGGAATTTACTGAAAAACATTGATTAATGGCTCAACAAGTGTAAATTTCAAGTTTCCAGTTTTTAGCCAATTTTACCTCTGAAAACAGGTGACCCTGACCTCCTTCAATCGCAAATATCTCGACTTCTATTCAAGATAGATGTGTATTTTTTTTCATCAAAAGATGGTCAAATGAACAGGCTGATGATACCAGTAACTCTACATGCCAAAAAATTGATGATCGTCTTTTTCCACCGTATCGTGACACATGTACATTATAATGTAGTTTGTTGGAGTCTTATTTTATTCCTACCAACCAATTACACCGTTCCTTCCCCCCCC